CTGTATTTATTGAGATGATTATGAATTTTTAATTATGAATATGGCATATCATTGAGAATTGATTTTCAGATGTTAAATAAATCTTACATTTTTGTGATACATCCTATTTGGTCATGGCGTATAATTCTTTTTTATATATTGTTGGATTGATTCACTAATCTTTTGTTGAGCTTTTTGGCATCAATATTCACAAGAGATGTTGGTCTGCACTATTTTTGCTTTTAGTGACTTTTTCTGGCTTTGGTATCAGCGTAATACAACCTTAGAAAATAAATAAATCAAGAATTCCTCCCCCTCTGTTTCATCAGAAGAGTTTAAAATTATTCAATAAATGTCTGATAGAATTTAATAGTGAAGCCTTTTGGACCTGGGCTTTTCTTTGCTGGGGGGCCTTTGATTATAGATTCAACCTCCTTACGAGGTATGGGTCTATTCACATTTTCTACTAGTTTTTATTCTTTGAAAATTTCATACTCGTTTACAACGTACCTTGATCATATCCCGCCCCCTCACTCTTCCTTCCAACTCTCCCTCGGACCCTCCAATCAGATCTCCCTCCCAATCTCAAGACCTCCTTTTTGTTTATTTATTTGTTTGTTTGTTTTTAACCCACTGAGTCCAATTAATGCTGCCCATGCCCAAATGGGTGCGAGGTCATCCACTGGAGCATGGACAATCTATCAGTGTCCACACTCCTAAACAAAGTGACTCTCCCTCCTCCAACAGTCATCAACTGCCAATAGTTAGTTCCTCAGGAAGTGCTGGAGCCTCAAGAGACCCTCCGTGCTGGAATTTTTAACTAACTTGATCTTATGGAGCCTCAAGAGACCCTCCGTGCTGGAATTTTTTACCAACTTGATCTTATGGAGCCTCAAGAGACCCTCCGTGCTGGAATTTTTAACTAACTTGATCTTATGGAGCCTCAAGAGACCCTCCGTGCTGGAATTTTTAACTAACTTGATCTTATGGAGCCTCAAGAGACCCTCCGTGCTGGAATTTTTAACTAACTTGATCTTATGGAGCCTCAAGAGACCCTCCGTGCTGGAATTTTTTACCAACTTGATCTTGTACATAAATGTTCGTGAAAGGAGTAAGCAATCCTTATGCAGGTGTTGTATAGGTAACCACAGCTGCTGTGAATTCTTGTGTTCGATAGCTATGCCATGTTCCGAGGACAGCGTTTCACACACTCCTCCCCAGCATCTAGCTCTTACATTCTTTCTGCCTCCTCTTCTGTGGTGTTTCCTGAGCCTTGGAGGTGGTGTTGTTATAGATGTCCTAGCTACAGTTGAACACTCACGGTCACTTATTCTCAGCACTTTGAACAGTAATGTGTCTCTACATTAACCACTATCCACTGCAACGCGAAGCTTCTCTGACCAAGGTTGGGAGCAGCACAAATCTATGGATATAAACATAAATATCTAAAAGGCAAATTGGCAGCATGGCCATTTAGAAAAACAACATCACCAGGTTCTCCTCTAGGGCCTATGACTTCTCTAGCTAGGGTTTTGAGCATGTTTACAATACCAGGCATGAAATCCCTCCTGTGGAACAAGTCTCAAATGCAACCAACAGTGCAATACTGTTCATTGTTCCCATAGTCTTGCCATTATTGCATCGGTGGCATATCTTTCCTGGCAGAACTGAATCACAGCACAGAGGTTCCAGCCTTGGGTAAGACACTGAAAACTTTTCTCCCCCAGCAGTCTGCATAGCACCTTCTGCTACTATGAAAGTTACCTAGAAGGCAGAGTTTCCTGCTCCGATTTATCTGTGTTCTGCAACTAAAAAGTGTGGTGCTTTCAGCAATAGGGTCCTACCATCTAATTATGGTAGGCAACTAAGAGCAATGACAATAGCTTGTATTGTTTTTGGTGCCTCTGGGGTCTTTCTGACCAATAAGTCACAGGGGAGGTAACTCATGCCTCACACTAAAATTTTCATTTAATAACCAGTGTCTTCTGTGAGCAGCATTGTTCAATAATGTGAGTTGCTTCTGTTCACATTCCCTTTTAAAATTATCATTCTAATTGGCTTATAAGCTAGTGGAGTTTCATAAGCTTCTTCACACTTAAGTCCATCTTGGTAGTTTGTATCTTTCTAGAGTGTTTTCCATTTTACCTTACTTATCTAACTTATTAACATGCTGTTGTTCATATTTTTAATGAATTATTATAATTATTTATTGGTCTTTTTGAGACAAGGTCTCCCTGTAGCCCCAGCTGCCCTGGAACTCGCCGTTTAGACCAGGCTGGCCTTGAACTCACAGAGATTGGCCCACCTCTGCCTCCCAAGTGCTGGGATTACAGGCATGCACCATCATGCCTGGCTATTAATGAATTCTTTTCATTTTTAATTGTATGTATGTATATGTATGTATGTGTGTATGTATGTATGTGCACAGTGAGAATAGGTGCCTGCAGAAGCCAGGAAACAGTAACTAATCCCCTGAAGCTGGAGTAATAGGTGGTTGTGAGCCATGCTATGGGGGTACCAGGAACTGGACTCCAGTCCTCTGTAAAAGCAACAAGTATTCTTAACCACTGAGTCATCTCTCTAGCCCCCTTTATTTTTAAATATAGTAACTTATAGTTAAAAATTTTCCCTAAGTACTAATTTAGTAATATCTCATAGGTATAGTATGTTGTGTGTACATTTTCATTTTCATTTTATTTTCACTATATCCCAGGCAGGTTTTGAACTTTCGATTCTCCTGCTTCAGTCTCTCCAGTAGCTGGGATTGCAGACCTGCACCACCAGACCTGGTACTTTCTCTTCTTTCTTTCTTCCTTCCTCCCTTCATTTCCTCCCTTCCTTCCTTCTTCCTTCCTTCCTCCCTCCCTCCCTCCCTCCCTCCCTCCCTCCTTCCTTCCTTCCTTCCTTCCTTCCTTCCTTCCTTCCTTCCTTCCTTCCTTCCTTCTTTTTGTGAGGTAAGGTTTTCCTGTAGCCCCAGCTAGCCTGGAACTCACCAAGTAGACCAGACTGGCCTTGAACTTACAGAGATCTGCCTGCCTCTGCCTCCCGAGTGCTAGGATTCAAGGCATGTCCCACCAGCCTGGCCAGGCCTGGTATTTTCAAAGTGTTTTCTAATTTCCCCTTTTATTTATTTGTTTATATATTGTTATGCTATTTAATTTTCACAGATTTTTATTTTCCTAAATTGCTGTGTTACTTATTTCTAAGTTGCTTATTTCTTGTCTAGCATATGATCAAACTTAGAAAATGTTTGACACCCACTTGAGAAGAGTGTGTAGTCTGCTATTTTGGGTGGACTGTTGTGTAGTTGTATACTAGCACTACTTGGTTCATGGTGTTGTTCAAGACATTTGCCTCTCTGACCATCTTCTGTCTAGTGTTCTAACCATTACTGAAAGCAGGTTATTGAATTCTCCAATTTGTATTTTTTTTTATTTTATTGTTTTTATTTTATGTGCATGCATGTATTGCCTGCATGTAGGTAAGTATACCCGTGTTGTGCAATGCCCGTGGAGGTCAGAAGATGCTGTTGGATCCCCTGGGACTGGAGTTACAGACAGTTGTTAGCTGCCATGTGTGTGCTGGGATTCGAACCTGGATCTTCTGCAAGAACAACCCGTGCTCTTAACCATGGAGCCATCTCTCCAGCCTCCAATTAGTATTTTCTAAAGATTTATTTTTACTGTTTTGCGTTATGTATGTATGTATGCACACGTGAATGCAGGTGCTCATGGAGGCCAGGAGTGTCAGATCCCCTGGAGCTGGAGTTGCAGGCTGTTGTGAGCCACCCAACGTGGGAACCCAACTCTGGTCCGATGCAAGAACTGTAAATGCTCTTAGCGCTGTGCCCTCTTTCCAGCTTCCCAATTAGTATTTTAAATGTCTCCTTCTCGTATTTGTCAATTTTTGCTTCATCTATTTTGTTTTCCATTATTAGGCGATCACATTTTTATGATTGTTATTTTTTCCTGATGGCCTGGCCCTTTCATCATTAGAAATTGTTCTTTATCCAGCAATCCTTTTGTTTTAAAGTGTTTTGTCTGATTCATTGGCACTCTAAGCTTTCTTACGGTAGCAATTTGTATATTTTCCCATTATTTTACTTTCAATTTATTTGTATTTTTTGGAACATAAAACTTAGTTCACGTGGGTGTGGATTTGATCAAAACACCTGATATACATGTATGAAATTCTCAATAAATTTTTTTAAAGTAAAGCAGGCAAACAACGTAGTTCATAGAAGATTTGCATATAATTCTTACATTGTCACTGAGAATGGGAATGAACTCACTACCCTACTCAGAAGTGGTACAATGGGGGGGGGGGAGAAAGGGAGGATGAGAAGCGGCCATTCTTCCTCAACTAAGGGGGTGGGTGGAAGCACCACTCCTTTCTCGCTTCCCCTGGGCTCCGGGAGGGGAACAAGTGGAATCTCAGGCCTTGTGCTTCTCCACACCTTTGTACCTAAGGTTGAGGGGTAGGAACTAAGTGGTTCAGGTGCAGAAAGGGTCAGGGGAAGGGAAATGTGTCAACCAGAAAAGATGGTGTTTCCGGGAACTGTCTCTGTTGACGTCAGAGGAGTGGTTCAATCATTTCGCTAAAGAACCGTTTAAAAGTGACACACGAGACAGCTGTGATTGGTTGAGAAAATAAACGCTTCCCCATGGTGACCGGTTTGTGTAGGGATGGTATCAGTTGCCCGAGATACCTCACTTTCCTGCGGCGATTGGAGGGGCCACACCACTGAACTACGGCTGGCCTGCATCCTACCGAACAGCTAACTTGGCTATACTGTAAGAACCAGGGCCTCTGATCCTGGCTGCAGACCATCACTGACTGTGCACTGCTGGTGTTTCCCAGTTTATCCTTCTAGATGGTCCGGATTTGGGAAACGGCTCTCAGAAGAGAAAGAACAAAATTGTTTAAATGAGAACTGAAAAGCATCGTCGCCCTCGTTTTCGGCAGTGTGCTGAAGGAGACAACATCAGGAGGTCAACCTGAAGAAACGCCTGAGGGAAAAGATGCCTGGAGCCTCCTTGGGGAACAAGTCAACTGGGCGGGCGCTGGAGCGTCTTCAACCTGCTCTTCCTAAGAGTCCAAGAGGTCGCCCTCCAAAGAAAGCCTCTCCAGGAGCTGTCCAGAAGATTCGAAACAACACGGAGAAAACTCGTGGACGTACCAGCAAAGTACCCCCGTGCCCTAGGAAGAAAAAAGCTCCAGCTGATACCACCGTTGAAAAGAATGGAAAGGAAGTCGAAGTGAAGATACCTGACAAATTAAAGTCGTGGCTTGTTATGGACTGGGACTTGGTTACTAAGGAGAAGCAGTTATTCAAACTCCCTGCTAAGAAGAATGTGGATGCTATTCTCGGAGAGTACGCAACTTGTAAGAAACTGCAGGGAAATGCCGATGATAAGGAGAACGCCGTTGATGAATTGGTGGCAGCAATACGAGAGTATTTCAATGTGATGCTCGGCAGACAGCTCCTTTGCAAGTTTGAAAAGGTCCAGTATGCTGAAATCCTCCTGACTCAGCCTGATGTTCCAATGTCTCAGGTTTATGGGGCGCCACACCTCCTGAGATTATTTGTGACTAGCGGAGGAAAGTTGGCCCATTCGTCTCTTGATAGACAGAGCCTCGAATCAGTCTCGGGCCACCTGCATGATTTCCTTGACTATCTGGCTGAGAATTCTGCTTCTCTGTTTCGTGCCAGCGATTACAAAGTGGCTCCTGCCGAGTACATCCGCAAAGCCCTGTGAGGGTCTGTGGCCCACTTCCCCCTATGCCCTGGATCTATAAGCACTTCTGTGCTTAGTGTTCATTGTATAATTGATGTTCTTTGAAACTGTTAATGTGTAACAGGGCTTAATGGTTCAGTTTGCTTACTGTTGTATTGTGCACAGAAAATAAAAACAATATATGCTTATTTACTAGTAGTGTTAGCAGTGAATGCATAATTAGACACATGATAGAAAAGACTCACTAGAACATTTTATCGCTTATTTGACAACATAGGTTGAATAAGGGGGAAGGGGGAAGATGGAGGAGGAGGTGGAGGAGGGAGAGGGACTGGGGAGGGGAGGAGGAGGGGGAGGAGGATCGAGGATGGAGGAGGAGGAGTGGGAGGAGGCAGGGGAGGAAGAGGGGGAAGAGGAGGGGAAGGAGGAGAAGGAGGAGGGGAAAAGGAGGAAGAAGAAGGGAAGGAAGAAGGGGAGGAGGGAGGAGGAATGAGGGGGAGGAGTGAAGAGGAGGAGGGAGGAGGAGGGAAGACGAAGGAGGAGGAAGTGTAAGAGGAGGGGGATAGGGAGGAGGGGGAGGAAGAGGAAGAAGAAAAAAGAGGAGGAGGGCGGAGGAGGAAGGGGATGAGGAGGGGGATGAGGTACAGGAGAGAGGAGGAGCAAAGGAAGGAAGGGGAGGAGGGGAAAGGGTGGGGGAAGGACGAGGAGGGGTGGAGGAGGAGGGGAAGGGGAAGAAGAAGGAAGAGGAGGAAGAAAGAGAAGAAGAAGATGAGGAGGAAGAAGGGGAGGAGGAGGTGGAGGAGGGAGGAGAGGGGAGACGGGGAAGGAAGGAGGAGGGGGAGGAGCGGGAGGAAGAGGAAAAAGGAGGAGGAGGTAGAAGAGGGAGGGGAGGAGGGGAGGAGAAGAAGGCGGGGTGGAGGGAGGAGGAAGGGAGGAGGAAGAAGGGAGGAGGAGGGGGAGAAGGAAGGAGGAAGGGGAAGGAGAAGGGAGGGGAGGGGGATGAGGACTGGGAGGGGGAGGGGGAGGAGAAAAGGAGAAGAGGGAGGGGGAAGGAGGAGAGGGAGGGGGGGGGGAGAAGGGAGGAGAGAGAAGTGGTGAGGAGGGAGTGAGGTGACGAAGGAGTAGAACAGAGCAGAAAGGACAGGGAGAGGAGGACAGGGAGGGGGAGGGGGAGGAGAAAAGGAGAAGAGGGAGGGGGAAGGAGGAGAGGGAGGGGGGGGGGGGAGGAGAAGGGGAGGAGGAGAAGGGGGGGAGGGGGGGAAGGAAGAGTAAAAAGGGGGATGAGAGAGAGGAGGGAGGGGAGGAGGGGAGGAGAAGAAGGCGGGGGGGAGGGAGGAGGAAGGGAGGAGGAAGAAGGGAGGAGGAGGGGGAGAAGGAAGGAGGAAGGGGAAGGAGAAGGGAGGGGAGGGGGATGAGGACTGGGAGGGGGAGGGGGAGGAGAAAAGGAGAAGAGGGAGGGGGAAGGGGAGGAGGGGAATGAGTAGAGGGAGGAGGGAAAGAAGGAGGGGAAGGGAAAGGAGGAGGAGAAGGAGAAGGATGAGGAGGGAGAAGAGGGAAGGGAGGAGGAGGAGGAAGAAGAAGAGAAGGAGGAGGAAGAGGAAGAAACTGTATGTGTGAGAGGAGGAAGAGGGAGGAGGAGGAAGGGGAGGGGAGGGCAAGGACGGGAAGGAGGAGGAGGAGGAAGAAGAAGACAAAAAGCAGAGGGGGAGGAAGGAGAGGAGAGATGGGGAGGGTGGAGGAGGGGAAAGGGGGAGAGGAGGATGGAAGAGGGGAAGGAAGGGGAGGAGGGGAGGGGGAGGAAGAAGGGAAGAGGAAGGGGCAGAGGAGGAGGGGAAGGAGCAGGGGGAAAAAGAAGGAGGAGGACAAGGAAGAAGAAAGTGTGTGTATGAAGGAGGAGGAGGGAAGAGGAGGAAGAGGAGGAGGGGGCAAGAGGGAAGGGAGGAGTGGGGAAGGAGGGGGTTGGACAGAGGGGGAGGAGGAGAGGGAGGAGGGGAAGGAGGAGGAGGAATGGAAGGAAGAGGGAGAGGTGGGAGAAGGGAGGGGAAGGAGGAGGGGGAGGAGGAAGAAGAAGGGGCTGAGGGGAGGAGGGAGGAGGACGGAGGAGTAAGGAGAGAGGGAGGAGGAAGAGGAGGAGAAGGGAGAGGGAGGAGAAGGAGGAGGGGGTGGGAGGGGAGGATTGGTAGGTGGGAGAAGAGAGGAGGGAGGAGGGGGATGGGAGGGGAGGAGGGGAAGAGGAGGGGAAAAGGAAGAGGAGGGGAAAAGGAAGAGGAGGGGAGGAGGAGGAAGAAGAAGAGGAAGCAGAGAAAGAAGAAGGGGAGGAGGGAAGAGGAGGGAGAGGAGAGATGGGGATGTAGAGGAGGGAAAGGAGGGAAGGGGAGGAGGGAGGAGTAAGGAGAGAGGGATGAGTGTGCTGGATAGCTTTAGTGCCAACTTGACACACCTGGGTTGAGGGAGCCTCAATGGGGGAATTGCCTCTATTGGACTGGCCGGTGGCCATGTCTGAGGGGCATCTTCTTGATGAGTGATGTGGGAGAGCCCAGCACACTGTTCGTGGTGCCACCCCTGGGCAGGTGGGCCTGTGCTACATAAGAAAGCAGGCTGAGCAGGGGCCAGGGGAGCAAGCCGGTAAGCAGCATTCCTCCATGGCCTGTGCTCCAGCTCCTGCCCTGTGCTCCAGGTTCCTGCCCTGAGCCCCTACCTTGGGTGCCCTGATGAACTGCAACCTGGGAGTTGTAAGCTGAATAAACCCTTTCCTCCCACAAGTTGGTCAGAGTGTTTTGTCACAGCAATGAAGAACAAACTAGGACAGATGGGGTGGCTAGTGGGAAAGGAGGAAGGGGAGGAGGGAGAGGAGGAAGGAGGAGTAAGGAGAGAGGGATGAGGGAGAGGATAAGGAGAAGAGGGAGGAGGAGGGAGAGGAGGGAGGGGGAAGAATGGAAGGAACAGAGTGAGGAGGAGAAGGAGGAGTGGAAGGAGGAGGAGGAGGAGGAGGGGGAAGAAGAGGTGGAGGAGGAGGAGGAGGCGGAGGAGGAAAAGGAGCTGATTAAAGTGAATTATAAGCAAGGTTGTGTTTCATTCACCCTTCCACTGCTAAGTAGTACTGAAGAGTTGGGAAGTGTTTTGTGGAAAGGCAGGACTGGGGCCTCAAGTGCAGCCCTAATAAAGGGACCTG